AAAAGAAATGAAACGAAACTGGGAAAACAACATCTTTTGGCATAACCATGCATCAGTACACTATGGAGCCACACTGTAATCCCAACACTGAAAAATTGGATCTAGATATAAATTTACCATGGAAAGACACTTAGTACATATTAGATAAGACAAGAAAGCTCCAAAGCAAGATGTGTATTGTCCCATTTTTGTAAGATTGTGTATCTAAATACATTCATTTGTGTATCAGAAATTCTGCTAAGATACACACCAGAATCTTAACAATAGCTAATCTTTGAATGGTGGGATTACAAACTGAATCAGGCAGTTTAGCCTCAACTATGGTGCGGCAACAACTGGAAAGTCTACTGGTCTGCAATGGCAGGGGCTAATTTCTCCCTACTGTTCGTGTCTATTGTGGCTGGCTGCTCTGACCATCTTCTTCACCCTGGGACCTAGGCTGACTAAACAGTCTCCATGTGAACATTGCAGGTCACTGCAACAGCTGATGGACCACCCACCGGCTCTTACAACCAGTGCCAGGCACGTTTCGTGGCCCTTCCAGGTTCAACAAGGTAGGGGTATATAATCCTCCCCAGGCCCTCAGGTGAGGCTCAAGCCAAGGAGGGGTAGCAAATATTTTGGACATAATACAATCTACCACACAGTGATTTCATTCTATTATTTAAAGTTCTTTTCTTTGCAGAAGGGGGTGAGAGGAGAGGTGAGTGGTCTCACGGGCATGATGCCAGCTACAAGGGGCTGGAGAGCTGATGTGGGAGGATCACTTAGCCTAGGAGTTTGAGGCTGCAGTGAGTTGCGATCCTAACATTGCACTCCAGCCTGGGGGACACAGTGAGACCCTCACCCTCCCTGCCCCCAAATTTGAGAGGTCTGGACTTTGCCTAATTTAAGAGGCAGACCACCTGACCTTGACCTACAGCAAGGAGAAAACAATGATGGGACAGAAAGTTCTGGATGCTCAGAAGTGTTATGCCAGGCCTTCTACTTACTGCTTATAGGACTTGAGTTGAGTTAGAGAGTCTCCATGAATGTCCCTATCTAAGATGGAAATGAAAAGGGCTGTCCTGTTGACCTCATACTACTCGGCAGCAGGGAGGGGTGGCTCAGGTGGAAGACTTTCAAATGATCAGTGCTCTACCTGCACGCAGAAGGTTTGGTGCTTCAAGCTGTAACCGCATACCCACATGTACTACACGTCCCCAACTTCATCACCAAAGGGGGTTGTTCACCCCTTTTACTCATGTCCATGTAGGGCAGGTGAAAAGATGACAACCCAGGTCCCACTATGGGGGAGGAGAAGCCCCCGATGGATGAGCCATGGAAGGGCTGGGATATGAAATGAAGGCCCCCCTTCCCACTTTGTCATGAGACACTGGAAATAGCTGTGTCTCCCTTTCCTCCTGCCCCCAGTCTCCTGGGATGGAAGGCAAAAAATGATTGTAATCAGGGTTCCCAAAAGGGAATGATCACTAGGGTCATCTATGAGCATTGAAAAACTAGATTCCAGGGCTTCAACTCCAGGAGCTTCTGATTCATCTGGTGAAGGAAAGCCTAGACTGAGTCACAGAAGGTGATCTGTGCCACCCCCATTTGGCCCTGGCTCCTACCCAGCTCCTCTGCACAGGCCTCATGAGGTGTCCTGGCAGGGAGGGCCCGGACATCTCAGGTGGCACGAGCCCTGGCAGCTGGGAGAAACCTGAGTGGTCCCAGGTTATCTGATGGTGCACCTGCCTCAGCCCCGTGCTGGCTTCTTGAATGTCAAGATCAGGCGAAGTCTCAGGAAGCAGCTCCCTGAGCAGCACAGGTCACCCCACAGGCTGCCCCAGGGCCAGGCTTTCCAGGACAGCAGGGCCAATGGAGGTGGTAAGAAAAGGGTATTCTCCTGTCCTGCTCCTAGTCCCTCTGAACTAAACATGCTCCTGGCTCCCACGACCTGCCTGCACACCTTGACTGATAAGCCTGGAATTAATCTCTTTACACATCTGTCAACATGGCAGTGAGTGCCTTGAGGGCCAGGACAGGTCTTGTTCCTCCCTGCATGCCCAGTGCAGTCCCTGGCACACCATTTGTGCTTGCTTAATATTTCATGAATAAAGGAGAGGTAGTAACACTTACCAAGTTACCACAGGGTCAAGGAAGGACTGATATTCACACCCACTGGGCACATGGGAAGCGCACGTGCTTACCTGAGAGGTGGGGAGGCCCCATTCTTAGTCACTCGGCTAGAGGCTGAGCTTAGCACGCCTCATTTGGCAGTGGTACTGGATTACTTCTGGCATCATGGTACCCTATGACATAAGGTATGAAACTTATGGAGCCTCTTCCCAGGAAAATGCCCCTCCCCACTCCCTCTGTCTCACACATATAACATACAACTTCCAGGTTAAGAGTATCACCCCTTCACCAGGTACAATGACTCACATCTGTATCCCAGCACTTTGGGAGGCCAAAGTGGGAGGATCACTTGAGCTCAGGAGTTTGAGACCAGCCTGGGAAACATAGGGAGACCCTATCTCTACAAAAACTTAACAATTGGCCAGGCATGGTGGTGCACACCTGTAGTCTCAGCTACTTGGGAGGCTGAGGTGGGAGGATCGCTTGAACCTGAAAGGTCACAACTGCAGTGAGCTGTGGTCATAGCATTCCAGCTTCAGCGACAGTGAGGCCCTGTCTCAAAAAAAAAAAGTATCAGCCCTTTAAAAACTGAAAAGCTCTTTTTTAATGGAGAAAGGCTAAAATTGTCTATTATTGTATGTAGTTAATGAATTTATTTATTTATTTTAAGACAGAGTCTCACTGTCACAGGCTGGAGTGCAGTGGCACAATCTCAGCTCACTGCAACCTCCGCCTCCCAGGTTCAAGCGATTCTCCTGCCTCAGCCTCTCAAGTAGCTGGGACTACAGGCGCCAGCCAACACACCCGGCTAATTTTTGTATTTTTGGGGGACGGGGGGGTAGACAAGGGGTTTTGCCATGTTGGCTAGGCAGGTCTTGAACTCTTGACCTCAAATGATCCACCTGCCTCGGCCTCACAAAGTGCTGGGATTACAGGCGTGAGTCACTGTGCCTGGCCTGATGTCTACAACTTTTAAATTATTCAGAAAAAAGAAATTATACACACATATTTATCTAAAGATGAAGTAAGTGTGGCCAAAAATTAACAATTGATGAATCTATAGGGTGACCACGAAGTCTGGAAACATTTTATTTTTGGAGACAGTCTTGCTATGTTGCCTAGGCTGGTCTCAAACTCTTGGGCTCAAGTGATTCTCCCCGTCTTGGCCTCCCAAAGTGCTGGGATTATAGGCATGAGCCACCCCGTCTGGCCTACCATATTTTTCAATAGATTGAAGATGTTCTTGATGGCATTATGAATATTTGCCTATTTCCAGACTTTACGGATACATAATAGACAAAGGATATATAGCCTCCATTGAACTATTCTTTCATCTTTTCTGTAGGTCTGAAATCCTTCAAAATAAAATGTAGTGAGTGGGGAAAGGAATCTCAGCCCTAGGGTAAGCTTCTAGTCCCGAAATCAGTATTCCACACTCTAAGAGCTCAGACAAAGGAGAGGACCACAGTCAAGGCAGGCTCCAGATGTGTTTATTAGGCTATTGAATAGAACCATGTGACCATTTCTGTAGGTAAAAGGACAAAGGAGAATTACAAACACTTTGGGTCTTTCCCGAATTCTCTCCCCTTTCTCTGGGCAACTCCACCCACCTTCACTCTCAAAGGAAAGGCACAGGGGGAAGGAAGTGGGTTAGGGGACTCAGGAGAGTCTGTGTGGCTCCTACCACCCCAAACTTATTCTGGTTTCCCGAAGATAAGAGGCAAGGCTTGCTCTGATCTTTTCCAGTTCTCAGAGTCCAGCAGGCCACTGTGCTGGACACATCCATGGATCCACCAACATACATCAGTCCTTCTGTGTTCTCTCCTGCATAGTAGAGGCTGGAAGCCTAAGAACTATATTCCTCAGAATTTCCTGCCAGCCAGGATTTGCTTTAAAGTCCACTAATGAGAGGCACTTCTAGAAACCATGATTCCTTTTCCAGCAGTAGCAGACAGTAGGCATGAGTTTTGGAGCATCTTCTGAGCATTTTCCTGTACATCATCTGCTTTTGTGCAGCTGGAAGCTAAGACCATCAGCAGGAGTTTTCTGTGCCTCCTGCACGTTGCTGATTTCTGACAGTTGCCACTGGCTTTCTCCAATTTTCACTTCTCTATCCCTTTCAGTGGTTTTATAAATACTTCATTCCTATAGTAGATCCCTTCCTGCTTATATTAATAATACCTAGAGGGGACATGGTTTTCCTGACTCATCCAGCTGTCGTAGGACCTTACTCCAAAGTAAGGAAGGCTTCTCTTGGGGAGGTAACTTCCTGTAGAAAGATTTCCAAACACTGTTCATTATTTAATGCCAAAAAGGTAAACAGAAGCTGACATGGGTGGTAAGCAATTCCCAGCCATGGAACACATGCTGGCCTGTGAGTCCTGAGATGCTGAATGGGATGCCAGTTCCCCGACCAGAAATATCCTCCCATCTACCTCACTGCTGCCATTCCCCTGGGGATGCCAGGGGGCAATGACCACATAGAGCAGAGACGGCACCTGACAATGGAGAAAAGATGTCTGAAGTACCGACCCAGCTCTCAAAACCCACCTGGAGTTACCCTGGAACACAGGAACATTTGGTCATCCTCCTGGCACAGGGGAGGGGGTTCTCTGCTGCCAGGCCTCTTGGAGCTGAGGCAGGAGGGTCAGCAAGAGAGAGTCCAGCACAGCCAGACCCTCCCAGGAACACCGAAGACCCCTGGAGAACCAAGAGGCCTGAAGGTGACTACTTCATCTTACCAATTTCAAGCCATCCCCCAGCAGGGCTAAGCCCCCAGCACCCGCAGGCCCCTCCTTACCAGTCAGTCTTTCTCACTTCTCCTGGGTCTGTGGAGAGCTGTAGTCAGGGCTCCCTGAGATGCCTCAGCCCCCTCTGCCTGGCACCCCCCAACACACCTGTGATCCAGCTGCAGTAGGCCCTGCTCCAGCAGCTCCTGCACCTCCTTGTTCGCTCCAAACACATCACACAGGGTCAGCTGGGGCTCAAACTGCTGCCAGTGCTGGGGAAGCCAGAGGGTCAGAGGTGGGGGAGCTGGCCTGGCTACTCTGGGCCACATAGTTGGGGTGTGGAGAGAGGTGGGGGAGGGTCCAGCCCAGCATGGAGATCTCAGCAGCTGACATGCATGAAACCAGAACCAGGCCAATGGGCCAGCAGGGAGGAGGGCACCTTCACTCCTATTCCACTGAGGCTGGAACCCAGCTTCCAGCCAGGCCAGGCCTTCCTCTATTCCTCCTCTCTTCCCTCCCCTCTCAGCCAGCTCCAGCCAGGGCTTTATGGCTCTGACTTTATCCAGAGAAGCTCTGGGTTTGCTTGATCATTATCTACTGTGCTTCCTATGAGAGGTTTCAGTGCTCCTTAAAAACAAGTGGAAACCTTTTATCTATCTATTGCTTCAAAGAGCTCAGAAAATTGAGGCTGAGAGAGGTGAAAGGATTTGTGTCCAAGGTTGCAGTAAAATGTGGGCTGGAACTTGGGTCTCTGCAGCCCTGGTCTCGGGTTCTTAGCTATGCGCCACTGCTCACTGCTTCTGCCCATCAGGCCTCAGCTGGACCCGGGCCCCACTTCTAGCTGCCAATCTCACAGAAATTGGAGGTGTGTGTCGGGGGGTGGAAGGAAGGGGCACTGATTCCGCAAGACTTAGGAGAGAGTTGTGTGCAAGAATCCCAACTCCTTACCTGGTGAGTGATCCCCACATCGGTGCGTAAACCCAGGGCCAAAACTTCCTCCAGCCTCAAAGAAAAATCATCAAGGAGTCTTAGAGAGGAGGCCTGTGTGCCTCCCATTCTCCAAATTCCTCACTGGGATGCATTTAGAGGTTAACAGGGACCATACAGTATGTGGCAGGGCAGGGGCCAGGGCAAGGGAGGAAATAAAAGATGTACAAATAGAGGTGGTCCTGGGGTGTGGGGACCGTGGGGGAGAGCCCTGTGCCCTTGGATGCTCACAGCTCCAGCCTGCCCAGGGGGACACGCTTCCGGGTGCCATGGCCGAACATCATCACCTCCTTCATCCAGTTGTCAGGCTCCAGTGTCTGGATGCGAGCCTCCCGGGTGTGGCTTCCAGCCCCCTGGGGCATAAATCGCCCATGGGCCCCTGACAACATCAACAACCATCCCCACATTAATGGCTGTTAATACTATGTGCTTATCAGATTTAAATCATGTGCTCCCTAGAGCAACTGCCTCTAACACACTGGAAATGTAAATTCTTTTTATTTTTTTTTTTGAGATGGTATCTCACTATGCTGCCCAGGCTGGTCTTGGACCCCTGGGGTCAAGTGATCTTCCACCTCAGCTTCCCAAGTAGCTCGGATTAGAGGCACGAGACACCAGGCCCTTTTCTCTTTTTTCTTTTTAAATCATCTATCCCAAAATGCCAAGACATATAAATTCTTAGGCTCTCCTCCAGCCCTGTCCAGTTGGAAATTCTGGAGGTGGGGCCCAGCAGCCTGGGTTTTAACAAGCCCTCCAAGAGATTCTCGCACACACTAAAGGCTGAGAACCGCAGTGCAAGGTGCGACATTAAGCCCCTTATAATTCATGCTCAACAGTTCTATAGGGAGGTATTATTTTTTTGCCACATTTTACATATGAGAAAATAGAGGCTTGGCGAGGTTAATGTGGCCCAAGATCACACAGCCACGACACTCCTCTCCTGAGTCATTCTTTCTGTAGTTCACAGCACTCACCAGGCCCAATGCCAAGGTACTGACCACACTGCCAGTAAGTCCAATTGTGGGTACTGAGCGCCCCCTGCGGGGAGGGAGGAAATAGTGCAGAGTGAAGAGGGTGGGTCTAGTTTCTGCTTAGGTAAGGGGCCCCAGGTTAGAATGCCCCACCATCTCAGGCCTGAGAGCACCCAGTCAGGATCCTTCTCTTTAGAAGGTCACAATGCCCCGGTCACACTGCAGTCTGCTCATCCTCCACCTCCAGCCACCAGCCCCAGAACTTACATTCCGGGCGAAGTTGGAGACCTCATACTGGCGGAAGCCAGCCTCCCGAAGGACAACCCGGCCCCTCTGGTACATCTCAGCTGCGAGCTCCGGGTCAGGGGCTGGAAGGACACCCTGCTGCACCTGGGCGAAAAGTGCGGTGCCCCGCTCCAGGGACAGCTGGTAGAGGGAGAGGTGGTCGTCACAGTGGTGCAGCAGTTCCTGTAGCTGCCCAAGCCACGGCCCCACCTGCTGGGCCGGCAGCCCCAGCATGAAGTCCACAGACACGCGCCCGGGAAAGAGGCGCCGGGCCTCTGCCAGCGTCCGCAGAGCATCGCAGGCCGAGTGCGTCCGTCCCAGCAGCCGGAGCTCGGTGTTATCTAGGGACTGGGAAAAGAGGGTGGGTGTAAGCTCAGAGAGAGAAAAGAACGCTCCACCCCATTGTAGACACAGAAACAGGGAGAACACAGCATGTGGCAGGCAGCTGGAAGGCAGGAGCTGGAAGGCTGGCACCAAGAGCTGCCCTTCACAGAAGGGTTGCTATGTGCGAAGCACCTTTATGTAGTGTCTAATTTAATCTTTGTAACCTCCTTTGTAACCCTCCAATATTAGTTCTATTTTACAGATGAGAAAACTGTGGTTCAGAGGTGTTAAGCAACTTGCCCAAGGCCATACAGTTGCAAAGTTCGACCTGGAATTTAGGACCATCCGACTCCAAAATCAACAGTCTTTATTTACTTTACTTTTCATTTTTAAATAATTCTAGCCTATAGAAAAGTTGAAAGAACATCACACACAAAAAAAACCTTCATCTAGATTCAGCATTTGTCCAGATTTCTTTCTAAACATACATACATGTGATTATGCTGAATCATAGTAAGTTATAAACCAGCACTGTCCAAAAGAACTTTCTGCAATGGTGGAAATGTTCAGTATCTGTATTGTCCAATATGAAAGGTAGTAGCCACATGTGGTTATTTAAATTTAAGCGAATTAAACTTAACTTACCACATTTCAAATGCTCAGTAGTCTGTGGCTAGTGGCCACTATATTGAATAGCAGTTATAGATATTATACTCCCTAACCTCTAAATACTTAGGTGTGTATTTCCTAAAGAACAAGGACACTCTCTTACATAACCGCAATCCAATTACAGAGTTCAGGGAATGCAACATTGACATAACACCATTACATAATACACTGTCATATTCAAATTTGGCTAATGGTCCCAATAACATCTACTGTAGTAATTTCCTCCTTCCTCCCCAGTCAGGGGCCACACATTGTATTCAGCTGTCTCTTTTGTCTCCTTTAGATTCTCAGCCTTTGTCTCTCATGACATTGACATTTTTGAAGAATACAGGCCAGTTGTTTAAAATGCATAATTCAATGAATTTAAATACATTATGTATGATTATTATAATTATTATTTAAATGAATTATTTAAAATGAATAATTTCTAGAGATTGGCTGTATAACATTGCTTATAGTTAACAGTGCTGTACATTTAAAAATCTGTTAAGAGGGTAGATCTCATGTTGTCTGTTTTTACCACAATAATTTTGTAAAAGTCTCTTAATTCAGGGTTTCCTGATGTTTCCTCACAGTTAGATTCAAGATATGCACTTTGGGGTAAGAATATCTTAGAAGTGATGTGTTTCTCTCAGTATATCCCATCAGAACAAAGCCCACAACCCGGAAGTCCTACAGAAATATCAGAGCTCAACCTGAGAGGACTAAGGTTTCTCCCTACTTAAAAACCTTCAATGGCTACCTATCATTACTAGGACAAAACCCAGACTCCTTAGTAGACATCAAAGGTTTTGGACTTTACCTTGCAGCCTTGTCTCCAGCCTCTCCAGTCACAAGGAATGACTCACAGCTCCCCCAAAACATGCCAGGCTCTTCCATGTCCTGTGTCGTTTCCCCCACACTCCCTCACCTGGTGAACTCCTCTTCATTCAAACATCATCTCCTCCAGAAAAGTTTCAGTGATTTCATCAGAGTGACCTCCCTTCAGGTTGTACTCCGGAAGCCTTTTATAGAGACTCCCTTTACAGGTGGCATTTACCATGCTGCAATAATCTGGCTACATGTCTGCATCCCCCATGTCTCCAGTCATGTAGCAAATCCTTTTTGACCACCTACTATGTGCCAGGCACTATGGTGGGTGCTTGAAATAGAAAAGCCACACCTGATCCTTTCTCATGAAGTTTGTGGTCTATGACAGCAGCAGACAATTAAGGAGTTACAAAAGTGTCACACTAGGCCCTACTGTGTCCCTGGCACCCAGAATGTGCTCAATCAATGTCTGTCCAATGAATGAATGTGACCAAAGAGGAGATAGCACTGAAGGGCAGGGTGCACTGGGATGGGCTGGGTGCCATGGGTTACCTGGAGGCCTATGGACAACCTGTTGACCCCTGCTGCCCCAAACTCTGCCAGTCTGGAGCCTGGAGTTGAAGTGGGATTAGCCTCCAATGTGACTTCCGAGTCTGCAGGCAGGTGGGCTGTCTGTGCCACAGCCTCCAGGACAGCAGCCACCGTGTGGGGACTGGCTAGACTGGGAGTCCCCCCACCAAAGAACACAGACTCCACCCTGGGGAAAGAGGATGGAGAAATGAGACCTGGGGGAGCCCTCGGGGATGCCTGCACCTATCCCCCACCACTCCTCCAAATAATTCCCAAAACGCTGCCTACAGCCCCCACTACCCACCGTTGCACCCCGCTGAGCCGCAGCAGCGTCTGCGCTTCGGTCACCAGACACTTCTGCATGGCAGCCTCCTCTACGCCGCGAGGGATGTACTTGTTGAAGTTACAGTAACTGCAGCGCTTCTCGCAGTAAGGCCACTGGGGGCAGTGGGTGCAGGTGCACGGTGAGAGCTGCCCTGGCCACTTCCAGGGTTTAGTCGCACACATCCCCAACCCCATCCCCACCCCCATCCCGAGGTCCTTCCACAGTAGCTAGGACATCTAGGCCACACAACTCCCCAAGGCAGTAGCACTGGGGTTATTATATCCACTTCAATGTGAGAAAACTGAGGCTCACTCCTTTGTTACTCTGCCTCTTCCAACCAGCAGACGTCAGGAAGGAACTCAATCCAAGCTCTTTCTGGGATCAAAGAATTTGCATACAATTTTCCTACGGGCCATTTTCCCAGCTACCGAATCAGAACACGGCTCTTAAAAAAATTTGTCTTGCTAAGAGGAAAACTGTTGTGAAATTTGAACCATCTGGTCAGTCACCGAGCTGGTGAGAAGAAGAGACTTCAGGTTTCTGTACCAAGTCATTTCCCTGCCAAGGCACCCGGTCCCATCCCAGACCTCGTACGGGGGCACGGAAACACGGCAGGCGGGTTCACAGAGTGACAAGCCGCCACCTGGGTTTTGGACCGCCACGGTCACGGCCACCGCTGCGGCCACACACTGCGGGCTCCGCCCCCGCCCTTACTCACGTGTACGTAAAGCGCCGCGCGCCGGCCCGCAGGCTCAGGACTCGGGGACCCTCCTGCGCCCTCCACGCGGCGGCGCCTCTGGGCCGCTCTGGCTGCTGCCGCCCAGCCGCGGGCCCGGGCTCCGGGGAGCGCCATGGCGCCCAGCGTGGCGCGTGGCACAGACCCGAGTAAGAGACGCGCGCAGGGCTCACTGTGAGTCCGGAGCCGGCGGAAGGAAGAGGGGCTGCGTGACCGCGCGCCGAGAGGGCCCGGGCCCGGGGCTGCGGCGCCACCTGTCGGCGCCCGGACGCTCACCGCGGCCGCCTGTCGGTTCTTCCCCCAGTCCGCCGAGCGGACTGCCTGCCTTTTGGCACCGTGTGCCCGGACGAGTTCCCGGACCCATCCAGGAGCTCTTAGTTCAGTCAATTCCTTGACATTTGACGTGCCTGGCTCAGAACTGGGCGCTGGAGACATCTAGGTGCGCAAAGCCAGGTTGCCTTCTGACAGGTAAGCCAACCGGCCAGGACAGGCAAGGCTTAATTAATTCCTTGCCTGCTGGACACCAGAGCCGTGCGCCCAGTGCTGTGAGGTCATCTGTTATAAGAGTGTGGGAGTCAGTAGGGGAGAAGAGGCACTTGGGCTGGATCTTTCTTTTAATTTCATTAAAAAATATTTGGGAGAGGGGAGGTCTTGAACTCCTTGGCCTCAAGCGATCCTGCTGCCTCAGTATCCGGAGTAACCAAGGATTGTACTGGCATGAGCCACCACCAGGGCTATGCGCTGGATCTTGGAGGAGCAGAAAATCCCAGGGGCAATTGGCTTGGCCGGGAGAGTAGACTGTTTTGGGTCAGGGCAACCCAAGCATCTGGAGGTGTACGTGCTGGGAGGACAGTCAGATGGTGTGTGCAGGAGAGACAGCACAGGGGAACGCCTGGGGAAGCAGGCACCTGAAGAACTGTCCCACAAAGCAGAAACATCATGGGCTTCAGAGGCAGGCGGTGCAGGACAGTTCTCCCAGTGGCCTTGAACTGACCTGGTTCTCCCCTCCTTTCTTGCTTGTAGTTCTCGAGAATAACTGTAGATGCCTGTAATCCCAGCACTTTGGGAGGCCGAGGCGGGCAGATCACTTGAGATCACAAGTTCAAGACCAGCCTACCCAACATGCTGAAACCCCGTCTCTACCAAAAATACAAAAATTATCCAGGCGTGGTGGTGGCTACCTGTAATCCCAGCTACACAGGAGGCTGAGCAGGGAGAATCCCTCGAACCTGGGAGGCAGAGGTTGCAGTGAGCTGAGACAATGCCACTGCACTCCAGCCTGGGTGACGAAGCAAGACTCTGTCTCAATAAATAAATAAATAAAACTGTAGAGTGTGCAGAGAATGCAACATCCTGAGGGAAGGAAGGTCTGGCCAGCACAGCCATGCTCTGTTCCAGTCTCCCTAGAAAAAGGATGTCCTTCAGCACTTCAGCCCAACATGTCACATGGCCTCAGGGTATAAAACCCAGGGTGGAAGCCGGGCTAGGTGGCTCACTCCTGTAATACCAGCACTTTGGGAGTCCGATGAGGGCAGATCACAATGTCAGGAGATTGAGACCACCCTGGCTAACACAGTGAAACCCCATGTCTACTAAAAATACAAAAAACTAGCCGGGTGTGGTGGTGCGCACCTGTAGTCCCAGCTACCCGGGAGGCTGAAGCCGGAGAATTGCTTGAATCTGGGAGGCTGAAGTTGCAGTGAGCCCAGATCGTGCCACTGCACGTCTCCAGCCTGGGAGACAGAGTGAGACTCTGTATCAAACAAACAAAAAACAGGGCAGGCTGGTTTCTGGGGTCCCTCACTTCAGTACAAGTCTGGCTGGCTGGGCGTGTTGGCACACACCTGTTATTGCAACACTTTGGGAGGCCGAGGCGGGTGGATCACCTGAGGTCAGAAGTTCAAGACTAGCCTGGCCAACATGGCGAAACCCTTGTCTCTACTAAAAAAAAATAAAATAAAAAAATAGCTGGACATGGTAGTGCATGCCTGTAATCCCAGCTATTAAGGAGGCTGAGGCAGGAAAATTGCTTGAATCCCGGTGTTCACACCACTGCACTCCAGCCTCGGTAAAAGAGCGAGACTCCATCTCAAAACAAACCAACCAACCAACAAAAAAAAAAAGGGCATGCGCAGATGACTCCATCTCCATGCGCAGTCCATCCCCCATCTGCCTCAGCAGTTTTCCTGAGCCTTAGGGGTCCAGCTCCAAATAAATCCCAGCCTTCTGTTGTCCCTTACTGCCTACCTATAGGTAATAAACACACTGCATGTCCCTTGTGTTTACTTCACTGGACTCAGCGTTATGTAACTTGTGGGTGTTCACCTCACTGGACTTTGACAAGTTGGTAACCAGTGTGCAGTGAACCTGCTTAACAGACAGCTGGGTTCTAATCCAGCGGTGCGACCTTGAGCAAGATACTGAACCTCCCTGAGTTTCTGTTGGGTCATTTGTGAAGTGGGACCAATGGCTACTTGATAGGATTGTTGGGAAGATTTGGAGACAAAATAATGTGAAAATACCTAGCCTAGAGACTGGTACTGAAAGTACCTTAAACCTATGTTCATTTCCGAAAAAGTTAAGAGGAGGCTGCTGCTGCTTTGGGCAGGCATGCTGGGAGGTAAGGGGGCAGGCACGCTGGGAGGTAAGGGGGCAGGCACGCTGGGAGGTAAGGGGGCAGGCACGCTGGGAGGTAAGGGGGCAGGCACGCTGGGAGGTAAGGGGGCAGGCATGCTGGGAGGTAAGGGGGCAGGCAGGAGGCAAGTTTCCATTCCTGTGAGCTGGAAACCTATGTGCCTTTTGGAACTCAGCTGTTTTTATTTCTTAGGTCAAGGTACAACCTGCTTTATCTGGCCCTGCCTACTAGGGATGCCCCAGGTTCACCAATCAAACCAAATAAAAAATAAAAATGAGGCTGGTTGGTGAGGAAGGGGGCTGGGGATGGGAGATAATAGTTAAAGAGTATGGGGTTTCTTTCTTAGGTGATGACAATGTTTAAAATTGACTGTGGTGATAGTTATACATATTTGTGAATATACTAAAGACCACTGAATTCTATACTTTAAATGGTGGATTGTCCCAGCACTTTGAGAGACTGAGGTAGGAGGATTGCTTGAGCCCAGGAGTTCTAGACCAGCCTGGGCAAAATAACAAGATCCTGTCTCTACAAAAAGATGTTTAAAAATTAGTTAGAGCCGGGCGCGGTGGCTCAAGCCTGTAATCCCAGCACTTTGGGAGGCCGAGACGGGTGGATCACGAGGTCAGGAGATCGAGACCATCCTGGCTAACATGGTGAAACCCCGTCTCTACTAAAAAATACAAAAAACTAGCCGGGCGAGGTGGCGGGCGCCTGTAGTCCCAGTTACTCGGGAGGCTGAGGCGGGAGAATGGCATGAACCCGGGAGGCGGAGTTTGCAGTGAGCTGAGATCTGGCCACTGCACTCCAGCCTGGGTGACAGAGCGAGACTCCGTCTCAAAAAAAAAAAAAAAATTAGTTAGACATGGTGGCACATTCCTATAGTCCCAGCTACTCAGGAGGCTGAGGTGGGAGGACTGCTTGAACCAAGGAGTTTGAGGCTGCAGTGAGCTATGATCATGTCACTGCACTCCAGCATGGGTGACAGAATGAGATCCTGTCTCTAAAAAACGGGGGAGGGGTGAGTGAACTGCATAGTATGTGAATTATATCTCAATCAAGCCGTTATATATATATATAAAAGAATACTTCTTGCTAGACTAATTTGGCAACAATGTGAAAAAGAATTAAATTAGAGTATATTAAAAATAAAAAATTGGGGCCAGGCACAGTGGCTCATGCCTGTAATCCCAGCACTTTGGGAGGCTGAGGCAGGCAGATTGCTTGAGGTCAGGAGTTTGAGGACCAGCCTGGCCAACATGGTGAAACCTCGCCTCTACTAAAAATACAAAAATTAGTGGGGGTAGTGGTGGGTACCTGTAATCCCAGCTACGTGGGAGGGTGAGGCAGGAGAATCACTTGAATCTGGGAGGCAGAGGTTGCGTGAGCTGAGATTGCACCACTACACTCCTGCCTGGGTGACTCCGTCTCAAAAAACAACAACAAAAATGGGTTGGTATCTCAAAGGGATACCAAGGGTGAGGGTTAAATTAAGTAGATAATCCACATCAAGGTGCTCTGCACTCTCAATGACAAGGAATAGGAGGTCTGAAAGTGCTAGTTTCCCTCAGTGTCTTCCCTTCTCCATCCCATAGGAGCTGCCAAGAGAGCCCACCAGCAAGAGGCCAAAGAAAACAGAAGCTCTTTATGCCAAATCACAAGGACAGACAAGGGGAGTACGGAGGATGGACAGGAGGAGGGCCTGGGCAGACCCTTCCTCCCTCTTTATTCACAGATTTAGATGTCGTTCCATCTGCTCTCGAAGTTTGAATTTCTGGATCTAGAGGAACGAAAAAGGAGTTAGGGTGACCAACTGTCTTGGTATGCCCAAGAATAAGGGGTTTCTCAGGCTTTTAGTGCCAAAACAGGGAAAGTCCCCAGGCAAACCAGGATTAGGTGACTTGGTCACCCTACTGCCAGCCTCTCCACACCCACTGCTGAAGCAAACAGAGGTGGGGCCCCATGGGACCCCAGAGCCCAGGCTGCCCTCCCCAGTCTCCTTCACCTTACACACCTTTCCTGAAGTGGTGAGGGGGTAGTTTGTGACGAACACGATGTACCTCGGAATCTTGAAGTGAGAGATCTGCAGACCAGAGGGAGGGAGGTAAGGCATGAGGCTGGGCAAGCTCACAGGGGTATGGGAAGGGGACCGGGGCTGGCTTGGCCGGGAGTCAGCTTCGTCGAGGGCAGAGCAGCCCCCACCCCAGGCTGGTTGGCAGAGGAGTGGGCGAACAAAGAACCGAGCAGCATCAGCTTGGTTGGGCGGAGGCTCCCACCTTCCCTTTGCAGAAAGCTTTCATCTCCTCCGCCGTGGTCTCCTCCCCGTCCTTCAGCCGAATGCAGGCACAAATCTCTTCCCCCATCCGATCGTCCTTCACTCCCACGACCTTCCAGGGCCAGGGAAAAGTATCAGACATCACCTTGTTCATGTGTGTTTCCTGTTTCTGGGGGCTCACCTGAGCCGGGTGCCTCACCTGCACTTCCTGCACCTTCGGGTGCATGTGAAAGAAGTCCTCGAGCTCTGCGGGGTAGATGTTCTCACCACCCCGGATGATCATATC